TATGATGTTCCCCAAGTTTTGGATTCAATCCCATATCAATTGGTCCATGAAATTGGACAATACAGGATCGTACGAACTTCGTTTTGAAATGTAGTGATTGGCGTATTGCATAGTTCTAGCCATTGGATTAACCTCAAAACCCACCAAATGATTCCTCCCACCATATTATGATGTTCCCCAATTTTTGGACTCCATCTGATATCGATTGGTCCGTGAAATTAGACAATTTAGGTTCGTACAAAGTTCGTTCTGAAATGGAGACGTTAGTGCATTGCATAGTTTTAGCCATTGTATTTCACTCAAAACCCACCGAATGACTCCTCCCACCATACTATGATGTTCCCCAAGTTTTGGACGGCATCTGATATCGATTGGTCCGTGAAATTAGACAATTTAGGTTCGTACAAAGTTCGTTCTGAAATGGAGACGTTAGTGCATTGCATAGTTTTAGCCATTGGAATTCACTCAAAACCCGCCAAATGACTCCTCCCACTATATTATGATGTTCCTCAAGTTTTGGACTCAATCACATATTGATTGGTCCATGAAATCAGAGAATTCAGGATCGTACGAAGTTCGTTATGAAATGGAGTGGTTGGTGTATTTTATGGTTCTTGAGAATGGATTTCACTCAAAATCCACTAAATGACTCCTCCCACCATATTATGAGGTTCTCCAAGTTTTGGACTGAATCCCATATCGATTGGTCCATGAAATCGGACAATTCAGGTTCGTACGAAGTTCATTTTGAAATGGAGATATTCGTGCAGTGCATAGTTCTAGCCATTGGAATTCACTTAGAACTGACCAAGTGACTCCTCCCACCATATTATGATGTTCCCCAAATTTTGAACTCAATCCCATATCGATTGGTCCATGAAATCGGACAATTCATGTTCGTACGAAGTTCGTTCCGAAGTGGAGTGGTTGGTGTATTGCACAGTTCTGGAGATTGGATTTCACTAAAAACTTACCAAATGACTCCTCCCACCATATTATGATGTTCCCCAATTTTTGGACTAAATCCCATATCAATTGGTCCATGAAATCAGACAATTCAGGTTCGTACGAAGTTCATTCTGAAATGGAGAGGTTGGTGCTGTGCATAGTTTTAGCCATTGGAATTCACTCAAAACCCACCCAATGATTTCTCCCACCATATTATGATGTTCCCCAAGGTTTGGACTCAATTCCATATTGATTGGTCCACCAAATTGGACAATTCAGGATCGTACGAATTTCGTTCTAAAATGCAGTGGTTGGTGCATTGTATGGTTCTTGAGATTGAATTTCACACAAAATCCACCAAATGACTACCACCATATTATGATGTTCCCCATGTTTTGGACTCATTCCCATATCGATTGGTCCACGAAATCGGACAATTCAGGTTCGTACGAACTTCGTTCTGAAATGGAGTGTTTGGTGTATTGCATGGTTCGTGAGATTGAATTTCACTCAAAAACCTCCAAACGACTCCTCCCACCATGTTTTGATGTTCCCCAAGTTTTTGACTCAAGCCCATATCGATTGGTCTAAGAAATCGGACAATTCAGGTTCGTACGAAGCTCGTTCTGAAATGGAGTGGTCGGTGTATTTTATAGTTGTTGAGATTGGATTTCACTCAAAACCCACCAAATGACTCCTCCCACCATATTATGATGCGCTCCAAGTTTTGGACTCAATCCCATATCGACTGGTCCATGAAATCGAAAAATTTAGGTTCGTACAAAGTTCGTTCTGAAATGGAGAGGTTGGTGCAGTGCATAGTTTTAGCGTTTGGAATTCACCCGAAACCCACCAAATGACTCCTCCCACCATATTATGATGTTCCCCAAGTTTTGGACTCAATCCCATATCGATTAGTCCTTGAAATCGGACAATTCAGGTTCGTACGAAGTTCGTTCTGATGTAGAGTTGTTGGTGTATTGCATAGTTGTTGAGATTGGATTTCACTCGAACCCACCAAATGACACCTTCCATCATATTATGATGTTCCCCAAGTTTTGGACTCAATTCCATATCGATTGGTCCATGAAATCGGACAATTCAGGTTCGTACCAAGTTCGTTCTGAAATGGAGTGGTTGGTGTATTGCATAGTTCTTGAGATTGGATTTCACTCAAAACCCACCAAATTACTCCATTCACCATATTATGATGTTCCCCAAGTTTTGGACTCAATCCGATATCGATTGGTCCACGAAATCGGACAATTCAGGTTTGTTCGATGTTCGTTATGAAGTGGTGTGGTTGGTGTATTGCATAATTCTTGGGATTGGATTTCACTCCAAACCCACCAAATGACTCCTCCCACCACATTATGATGATCCCCAAGTTTTGGACTCAATCTGATTTCGATTAGTCCATGAAATCGGACAATTCAGGTTCGTATGAAATTCATTCTAAAATGGAGAGGTTGGTGCAGTGCATAGTTTTAGCCATCGAATTTCACTGAAAACCCACCAAATGACTCCTCCCACCATATTATGATGTTCCCCAAGTTTTGGACCTAATCCGATATCGATTGGTCCATGAAATCGGATAATTCAGGTTCGTACGAAGTTCGTTTTGAAATGTAGAGGTTGGTGTATGGCATAGTTTTAGCCATTGGATTTCACTCAAAACCCACCTAATGACTCCTCCCAGCGTATTATGATGTTCCACAAGTTTTGAACTCAATCACATATCGATTAGTCCACGAAATCGGACAATTCAGGTTCATACAATGTTCGTTCTGAAATGGTGTGGTTGGTGTATTGCATAATTCTTGGGATTGGATTTCACTCCAAACCCACCAAATGATTTCTCCCACCATATTATGATGTTCCCCAAGTTTTGGCCTCAATTTGATTTCGATTAGTCCATGAAATCGGACAATTCAGGTTCGTACGAAATTCATTCTAAAATGGAGAGGTTGGTGCAGTGCATAGTTTTAGCCATTGGATTAATCTCAAATCCAACCAAATGACTCCTCCTACCATATTATGATGTTCCCCAAGTTTTGGACACAATCCCATATCGGTTGGTTCATGAAATCGGACAATTCAGGTTTGTACGAAGTTCGTTCTGAAATGCAGTGGTTGGTGTATTGCACAGTTGTTGAGATTGGATTTCACTCAAAACCCACCAAATGACTCCTCCCACCATATTATGATGTTCCCTAAGTTTTGGACTCAATCCCATATCGATTGGTCCATGAAATCAGACAATTCAGGTTCGAACCAAGTTCATTTTGAAATGGAGATGTTCGTGCAGTGCACAGTTTTAGCCTTTGTAATTCACTCAAATCCGACCAAGTGACTCCTCCCACCATATTATGATGTTCCCCAAGTTTTGGACTCAACCCCATATCGATTGGTCCATGAAATCGGACAATTCAAGTTCGTGCGAAGTTCGTTTCGAAATGGAATGGTTAGTGTATTGCACAGTTCTTGAGATTGGATTTCACTAAAAACCCACCGAATGACACCTCCCACCATATTATGATGTTCCCCAATTTTTGGACTGAATCCCATATCAATTGGTCCATGAAATCGGACAATTCAAGTTCGTGCGAAGTTCGTTTCGAAATGGAATGGTTAGTGTATTGCACAGTTCTTGAGATTGGATTTCACTAAAAACCCACCGAATGACACCTCCCACCATATTATGATGTTCCCCAAGTTTTGGACTCAATCCCATATCAATTGGTCCACGAAATTGGACAATTTAGGATCGTATGAAGTTCATTCTGAAACGCAGTGGTTGGTGTATTGCATGGTTCTTGAGATTTGACATCACACAAAACCCACCAAATGACTCCCACCATATTATGATGTTCCCCATGTTTGGGATTTAATCCCATTTCGATTGGTCCATGAAATTGCACAATTCCGGTTCGTACGAAGTTTGTTCTGAAATAGAGTGGTTGGGGTATTGCATGGTTCTTGAGATTGGATTTCACTCAAAACCCACCAAATGACTCTTCCCACCTTGTTATGATGTTCCCCAAGTTTTGGACTCAAGCCCATATCGATTGATCCATGAAATCGGACAATTCAGGTTCGTACGAAGCTCGTTCTGAAATGGAGTGGTCGGTGTATTGCATAGTTGTTGAGATTGGATTTCACTAAGAACCCACCAAATGACTCCTCCCGCCATATTATGATGTTCCCCAAGTTTTGGACTCAATCCCATATCGATTAGTCCTTGAAATCAGACAATTCAGGTTTGTACGAAGTTCTTTCTGAAGTGGAGTAGTTGGTGTATTGCATAGTTGTTGAGATTGGATTTCACTCAAAACCCACCAAATGACTCCTCCCACCATATTATGATGTTCCCCAAGTTTTGGACTCAATCCCATATTGATTGGTCCATGAAATCGGACAATTCAGGTTCGTACCAACTTCATTCTGAAATGGAGTGGTAGGTATATTGCATAGTTCTTGGGATTGGATTTCACTCAAAACCCACCAAATTACTCCACTCACCATATTATGATGTTCCCCAAGTTTTGGGCTGAATCCGATATCGATTGGTCCACGGAATCGGACAATTCAGGTTCGTACAAAGTTCGTTCTGAAATGGTATGGTTAGTGTATTGCATAATTCTTGAGATTGGATTTCACTCCAAACCCACCAAATCACTCCTCCCACCATATTATGTTGTTCCTCAAGTTTTGGACCCAATCAGATATCGATTAGTCCATGAAATCGGACAATTCAGGATCGTACGAAGTTCATTATGAAATGGAGATGTTGGTGCATTGCATAGTTTTAGCGATTGGAATTCACTCAAAACCCACCAAATGACTCCTCCCACCATATTATGATGTTCCTCAAGTTTTGGACTCAATCTCATATCGATTGGTCCACGAAATCGGATAATTCAGGTTCGTACGATGCTCATTCTGAAATGGTATGGTTGGTGTATTGCATAATTCTTAGGATCCTCAAACAACGTTGAATTCCGGTATTCTGGGATTTCATTTTGGAGGTCTTCTTGTACCTGGTGGTGTTGCTAGACTTGATGTTCAGCAGCATCATCATGGTCTCCATTCACTTCAGCATCCTCCTCCTCTTCATTTTCTTCTTCAGCAGCATCACCATGCTCTTCATTCACCTCTTCAGCAGCATCATCCTTGTCTTCACTCACTTCTTCAGCAGCATCATCATCATGCTCTTCATTCACTTCTTCAGCAGCATCATCCTCCTCTTCATTCTCTTCTTCAGAATCATCATCATTCTCTTCATTCTCTTCTTCATAATCATCTTTTTATCTGTTTGTTGAGTAGAGATAGTATTAAGAGTGCACTTCTATGACATGGTATTAAGAGTGTAATTCTATGACATGGTTTTAATAGTGTACTTCTATGAAATGGTATTCATAGTTTACCTCTGTGACATGGTATTCATAGTTTACTTTTATGACATGGTATTAACAAGTATGTATATGACATGGTATTAACAATGTTGTCATATCAACTGCATATTATTTGAAAGGAAAGAGTACCTTTATCTGGTTGTTCTTTAGATGATGAAGCTTCGCGCTGAGTTCTCGGCAAGGTTGTTTGTGAGGAATTTTGGAGGTGGATATTGCTCCATACTTTCTTGAATTTCATAGGCTCGTTGGAGAAGGAGATGGCATTGGTTCTCTCAGAAACAGAGAGAGGATCTGTTTGAAGGAGAAGGTATTCAAGCTCTCCCATGTCACCTATTGCGGCCAATGTTTTTGCAGCCATAACCAAAAGGACAAGCCGGCCCAGCTCGTTGCTTCTCCGTGGTCGGTTTGGCTTAAAAAACCATCACCTTGTGCTTCCATTCTCTCTATGACCTCTTTCGGGATGCCGTGGTTCACCACCTTGAAGAAACCACACTGCCTTGGTTTTCTTGGTTCGTATTGGTGAAGGAGATGGTACCACCATTGCTTGTTTCTGTTTCAGCAAGAGGATTGATCTGCACTTGGTCACTGCTGATGCATCTAGGAGCTGCAGGGAGAGGTTTTGTTTTGTTTTGTTACTATTCTGAGCATGGGGTGCTGTTCGGTCTCCAATAAGAGATGTCGTTATGGAAGCAGATTTGCAATTGGTGATGCCTGAGTAGGTGCCAATATGGGCTTGCCAAGGGTGTCTTGATAAGATCTTCAGCAGCTTCTTGGGTGCTGTAGGGAATTTCTCAGCACCTCCAATTTGTTACTTATAGTTGCCACATGCAATCAAGAATGGCTGACAATAATTGAGAACAGTGCCTGGGAGGCAAATGGAATTTTTACTGATCTAATTGTTGCCAATTATTTAATAAAGAACTTAAATTAATAAAATAGAAAATATAAGGAGACTTATCCTTCTGAAAGTGATGACCGTGAGAGATAATTCTTGGATTGAATATTTTTCAACACCATATGCTGATATGCTTCTTCACATCCTTTTCTCTCTCTAAACCATATGATATAGGTCCCGCATGTTATTACAGAAGCAAAGAGGAGTTGGTGGTGGGAGGTTTTGATATAGGGCCATGGAACATCATAATTGCTTCGGTAGAAGCAATACAGAGGCTGGTCTCCTTGAGTGTATGGGCACCTTATCCCGTTTGGCTTGCCAATTACCCAGAGTGGGTGTTTTTATGAATTGGGTCTGTACCTATAAAATGGGTATTTGGTTATTCACCGATTGTGAAATATGATATAAAATATGCTAAAATGATATGAGATAGGAAGAGGAATTTTATCCTTTAGAGAGCATGGTGCCAACCCATAGATGTAGAAGTCACGTGGGTATACCAATATATTAATAAAATATGCATCTCCTAAGAATTAAATAATAATAGGAAGATAAAAAATATTGCACTTATCTCTTGGAAGTGAATCACGTGGCTTTCCTTTCGGATTGAAATAATGGCTTGTCCCTGGCCATGCAAGCCATGCAAAGTGATGTTCCTGGTGAATTGGAATATTTGGCAACCTTCAAACTGAAACTCCTCGAAGTATCTGAAAGGTGGGTTGCTTCAGCAAATACATGTCTTCGGCATATTGGTGCCTTGAGATCCCATGTTGGCTTCAGCACATATGGTGCTAAACGGTAAGCTAAAATATGATGATGGAAAGGGTGCCGATGGGCACTAAAGGGAGGGAAGAACGACAGAAGCTTCTTGTGTCGATTCCCACAGACGGCGCCAAACTATTAATGCTATTTTTTGGAGGGTCAACTTAGATAAAGGTAGAATGGTGGATGATGGGTGAAGGTGAGGACCTTCAGCATGTGTGTGAAGATTTAGGCAAGCGATAAATATAAAGCAAACGAGATATACATGGTTCACCCTTAATGAATGTGCTACGTCCACGGAGAAGTATGTTCTCATTATAATACTGTATGTTTACATTTGTACATGGGGTTGAACCTAAATATAAAGATAACAAGTGAAAAGCCCAGTCGTGGGATCCAAAAAAGAGAGTCCCTCTCTCATGGGAGAGTAATCTTCTTTTATAAGCTAGGGGGAGTCTCCATCTCTTGTAGTTTTCCAATGTGGGACTCCTCTTGCTTTGCTTAGAGTAGTGACTTGTGGTAATGCTTCTTTGGCTAAGGCGATAACCTCTCTAAGTATGGCACGTGGCTGATCCAGCATAGCTAGTTGTTAGGTTAGTAACGGTACCAACAGAATGGTTGGTGTATTGCACAGTTTCAGACATTGGATTTCACTCAAAACTAACCAAATGATTCCTCCCACAATTTTATGATGTTCCCCAAGTTTTGGACTCAATCTGATATCGATTAGTGCTATAAATCGAACCATTCAGGTTCAGACGAAGTTCGTTCTGAAATGGAGTGGTTGGTGTATTGCATAGTTTTAGCCATTCGATTTCACTCAAAACTAACCAAATGACTCCTCCCACCATATTATGATGTTCCCCAAGTTTTGGACTCAATCCGATATCGATTGGTCCATGAAATTGGACAATTTAGGTTCGTACGAAGTTCGTTATGAAATGGAGTGGTTGGTGTAATGCATAGTTCTAGAGATTGGATTTCACTCAAAACCAACCATATTATGATGTTCCCCAAGTTTTGGGCTAAATTTGATATCGACTGGTCAATGAAATCGGACAATTTAGGATCGTACGGCGTTCGTTCTGAAATGGAGTGGTTGGTGCATTGCATTGGTTTAGCAATTGGACTTCACTCAAAACTCATCAAATGACTCCACCCACAACATTATGATGTACCCAAGTTTTGGACTCAATCCAATATCAATTGGACCATGAAATCAGACAATTCAGGTTCGTACAAAGTTCATTCTGAAATGGAGTGGTTGGTGTATTGCGTAGTTCTAGAGATTGGATTTCACTCAAAACCCACCAAATGACTCCTCCCACAATATTATGATGTTCCCCATGTTTTGGACTCAATCCGATATCGATTGGTCCATGAAATCGGACAATTCACATTTGTATGAAGTTAGTTCGGAAATGGAGTGGATCGTGTGTTGCATAGTTTTAGCCATTGGATTTCACTCAAAACTCACTAAATGACTCTTCCCACCATATTATGGTATTCCCCAAGTTTTGGGCTCAATTCGATATAGATTGTTCCGAGAAATTAGACAATTCAGGTTCGTACGAAGTTCGTTCTGAAATATAGTGGTTGGTGTATTGCATAGTTCTAGAGATTGCATTTCACTTAAAACCAACCAAGTAACTCCGCCCACCATATTATGATGTCCCCCAAGTTTTGGGCTCAATCCGATATAGATTGTTCCAAGAAATTGAACAATTCAGGTTCGTACAAAGTTCGTTATGAAATGGAGTGGATGGTGTGTTGCATAGTTTTAGCCATTAGATTTCACTCAAAACCCACCAAATGACTCCTCCCACCATATTATGATGTTTCCCAAGTTTTGGGCTCAATCCGATATAGATTGTTCGAAGAAATTGGACAATTCAAGTTCGTACGAAGTTCGTTATGAAATGGACTGGTTGGTGTATTGCACAGTTCTAGAGATTGGATTTCACTCAAAACCCACCAAATGACTCCTCCCACCATATTATGATGTTCCCCTAGTTTTGGGCTCAAGCCGATATAGATTGTTCCAAAAAATTGGACAATTCAGGTTCGTACGAAGTTCGTTCTAAAATGGAGTGGTTGGTGTATTGCACAGTTCAAGATATTGGATATCACTCAAAACCCACCAAATGACTCCTCCCACCATATTATGATGTTCCCCAAGTTTTGAGCTCAAGTCGATATAGATTGTTCCAAAAAATTGGACAATTCAAGTTCGTACAAAGTTCGTTCTGAAATGGAGTGGATGGTGTGTTGCATGGTTTTAGCCATTGGATTTCACTCAAAACCCCTCAAGTGACTTCACCCACCATATTATGATGTTCCCCAAGTTTGGGCTAAATCTGATATAGATTGTTCGAAGAAATTGGACAATTCAGGTTCGTACAAAGTTCGTTCTGAAATGGAGTAGATGACGTGTTGCACAGTTTTAGCCATTGGATTTCACTCAAAACATACCAAATGACTCCTCCCATGATATTCTGGTGTTCCCCAAGTTTTGGGCTCAATCCGATATAGATCGTTCCAAGAAAATGGACAATTCAGGTTCGTACGAAGTTCGTTCTAAAATATAGTGGTTGGTGTATTGCACCGTTCTAGAGATTGGATTTCACTCACAACCCACCAAGTGACTCCTCCCACCATATTATGATATTCCCCAAGTTTTGGGCTCAAGCTGATATAGATTGTTCCAAGAAATTGGAAAATTCATGTTCGTACAAAGTTCGTTCTGAAATGGAGTGGATGGTGTGTTGCATAGTTTTAGACAATGGATTTCACTCAAAACCCACCAAATTACTCCTCCCACCATATTATGATGTTCCCCAAATTATGGGCTCAATCCGATATAGATTGTTCCAAGAAATTGGACAATACAGGTTCGTACAAAGTTCATTCTGAAATGGAGTGGATGGTGTGTTGCATAGTTTTGGCCATTGGATTTCACTCAAAACCCACCAAATGACCACGCCCACCATATTATGATGTTCCCCAAGTTTTTGGCTCAATCCGATATAGATTGTTCCAAGAAATTGGACAATTCAGGTTCGTACGAAGTTCGTTCTGAAATGGAGCAGTTGGTGTATTGCACAATTCTAAAGATTGGATTTCACTCAAAACCCACCGAGTGACTCCTCCCACCATATTATGATGTTCCCCAACTTTTGGGCTCAAGCCGATATAGATTGTTCCCAGAAATTGGACAATTTAGGTTCGTACAAAGTTCGTTCTGAAATGGAGTAGATGGTGTGTTGCATAGTTTTAGCCATTGGATTTCACTCAAAACCCACCAAGTGACTCCTGGCACCATATTACGATGTTCCCCAAGTTTTGGCCTCAAGACGATATAGATTGTTCCAAGAAATTGGACAATTCAGGCTCGTACAAAGTTCATTCTGAAATGGAGTGGATGGCGTGTTGCATAGTTTTAGCTAATGGATTTCACTCAAAACCCAGCAAATGACTCCTCCCACCATGTTGTGATGTTCCCCAAGTTTTGGGCTCAATCCGATATGGATTGTTCCAAGAAATTGGACGATGTAGGTTCGTACAAAGTTCGTTCTAAAATGGAGTAGATGGTGTGTTGCATTGTTTAGCCATTGGATTTCACTCAAAACCCCCAAATGAATCCTCCCACCATATTATGATGTTCCCCAAGTTTTAGACTCAATCCGATCTCGATTGGTCCA